GGGCAGTAGTAGGAGTAATGGATTTTGTGGGGAAAAGAGTTGTAAAAGGGAATGTTGTTTCATTGAAAACAACATCTCTAGATATGTATACTTTGCCACATGGAGAAAGGCATTTGTATCCTTTATGGAGAGAGGAATACCCCAAGAAAACACACTCCTTGGAGTGATAGTCAAATTTGTGCTTGTTATATGGTCTTATGAAAGGATAGCAAGAGCAGCCAAAAACCTTAAGAAAGGAGTGGTCAGGAAGAGTTCTAAACAATTTGAAATAGGGACTGAGGTTATTGATGGATTTAGATGGAAGTCTATTTATGAGATGGACAGCTGTGGCAAAGGCAGTGTCCCAGAATTTTAAAGGTATAGAAGAATGGGCTAACAAACATAGGCCTTTTTCAACAATGGTGCGATGTTTCCTTTCAACTACACCATTTTGATAGTGAGTGTGAGGACAGATAATCCTATGAATGATGCCTTTTTGATTGAGAAATTTTGTGAAGGATCTAAACTCACCCCCCAGTCAGACTGGATTGACTTGATGGAGACTATAAACTGAGTTAACACATACTGATAAAAGTTTTGAAAGGCTAACACAGTATCAGATTTCTTTTTAAGAAAATAGATCCATGTATACCTAGAAAATGCATCAATGAATGACACATAGTAGGAGTAGCCATCAAAGGACTGGACAGGAGCTGGACCCCATAGGTCAGTGTAAATGAGGTCAAAGGGATTATTATAAATAGTAGTAGAGGGATAGGAAGGAAGCCTGTGAGCTTTTCCTAAACAGCATGCAGAACAAAAATCAACAACATTTTTATTGATAAAGGAAATATTGCATAGAGTCAATACATATTTGAGAGCCTCTAAATGAGGATGGCCTAGTCTCAAGTGCCAGACATTACATGTGTCATGAGAATGAGTGTTATTACAAGTAGAAACTAAAGAACTAGGACAAACAGATGCAACAGTTGACTTGTGAGACCCAATAGTCGGAAATGACTGAAACTTGTACAGACCATCTGCACCCAGGATGCCATAAAGAAGGATCTGTTTAGAAACCTGGGATTTAACAAAGCATTCATGAGGATGGAATTCAAAAAATGCATTATTATCTTTTGCAAATTGACTGACACTTATGAGATTTTTGGTTATTTCAGGGACATGAATCATTTTATTAAGAGACAGAGAAATGGAAGATTGATAAGGGGAAGGAAAGGTTGAAAAACCAATAGACTTAATCTCCAGACCTTGTCCATTACCCATAAAGAGCTTGTCAGTAGTGGCAATAGGCTCACTGTGTTGCAGGTTCAGTGGATCAGAAGTAACATAATGAGTAGCCCCAGAGTCTGGAAACCAGTGTTGAGAATGAGATGCAGGTCCAAGAACTGAAGAGTCAGCACATGCCCAGGCTGCTGAAGGAACATTAGGATTAGAATTAGAGTTGGGAAAGGGTGCATATGGGCTGGAATTAGGGTTGGGGGATGGTGAAAAAGGGTAAGAGGGTGGTGGCCAGTTAAACTGTGATGAGGTAGAAGAATTGGGCAAGTATGTTGGGATAACTGGATTGTGAAGATAGGCAGATTGTTGCTGGGTTATAGGGAAGTAGTTAGGCTGAGTTTGAGTTTGAATTGTGTAAGGATTTGATGTATAAGGGTTTGAAGGATAAGACTGATGCTGATTTGGTAAATGAGGGTAAGATTGAGGTTGATTAGGGTTTGAAGCAGTAATGTTTGTGTTTGATGCTGAATAGGTTGGGTTGTATCTGTGGTAGCAGATGAGTGCATGATGGCCATTCTTGCCACACACCTGACAGATAATTGGATTACGGCCACCTGACCGGCAACCTCCACCTCTGGTAAAGCATCTACCTCTTCCTCTATAGGAGGAAGAATTTCCAGAATCATCGAACTGAGCAACCTGTGCTGAAGCATTTTCTGAAGAATTGGGAGATTCACCATCATTGTTTTGAGAAGGTTCTTCCAGTTTTGCAATGTTGGCTGAAAACAATGTCTGTTGGGATGAGTCACGTAACTTCTTTAGACGCAATTCCTTTGCCAGTATTAGGGCTTCAAGATCGGATACTGTAATGGCTTCCAGGATACTCCGAGAAGACACCGAGGATATGAACGACTCATATTCCTCTGGAAGTCCTTCAAGGATCACGTTAATATGATCCTTGGTAGATATGGAATATAATCGCCGACAAGGATTAGGTTATCAACGATGGTCTGAATACAAAGAAGGTAGTCTGAAATGGACCGATCACCGTTCCCGGTGTTGTACAATTCTGATTTCAGTTGGCGAGTTCTGGCGGTGAGAACGAAAGAACTCCTGAATTTCTTTCCATAGCTGATGTGAATGTCTGCAGTTGATTACTAGAGCATGAAGAGAATCAGAAAGCGAAGCCAGAAGCCAGTAGAACAACATCTAATCCTGTTGCTCCCAGATGTCGTAGGCTTCATTGACGATTTTCTCGCCATTGTCACCAACAACGAATTGTTCTGGTATTCTAGGGTTTTCGATGAATCTGAGTAGCTTATGCGCGCGAACAACAGACTGAACATGATGCCTCCAGAGCATAAAATTATTCGAAACAAGCTTGATAGGTAAGGGATGATGAAAAATGACTGGAGAATTTTGCGAGGATGAAGATTGTGTAGATGATGATTCAGTAGTAGAGCTAGTCATGGTTGGAACGAGCTATGCTCTGATACCATAATAGACGAAGAAGAAAGATAGAATAGGAAAGTGAATCATCATAAAGATCAAAGAGGGGTTACAGAGTATTTATACATTTCTGAAACTAAGTAACTAACAGTAAGGCTAACAGAAGTCTAACAGAATCATAACCGTATACAACAATTCAAGTAACAATACAAGTAACAGTCTATTTATTATATCTAACACCCTTACAGTGATAAAAAACTAAAAACCTAGTTGACTGAACATTTAGAGACAAAAGAACACAAGTCTCTCGGGAAAACATAGATTGTCATGTATGGAGCAATTATAATTTTAAATATAAAAAAGTTACATTTTTCTACCATCCCGCCAAAGTAGAAGTTAACCAAACAACTCAAAACTTGAATCATAGAAAAATTTTATAAGGTAACATATGATAAACGGTGGTGGATAAATCATAAATGATAGCTTAAAGGTAAGTCAACCCAAAGTTACGAATGAGTCATTTGACAACAGTTGTTTGGGAAGTTGGCTATGATATAAGAATTTAACCAAAGGCATTTCTACTCTGCTAGCAATGTTCTTCTTGCTAAATGTAGTAATTAAGACAGAATGCTGATAAATTATTTTCACATGTCTAAATAAATATATCAGTCTTGTTGACTAATCATTTCTATGGTATTTGTTTCATGGACTGCTAGGCTTATGTGATGTTTCCTGCTTTCTGGTTTTGTGCTGAAGTAAGTGTCTCGAGATAAATGGTATTAAAGCGCTAAAAACGGCAGAATCATTCCAGAAAGCAACAAAAACATGACAAGAATCAACAAGAGCTGTTGCCTAATTGTAGGGAAATTTAGACAACCTTAAAACTGCGACAAAAAGGCCATTGAAGCAACTCCCTGAGAAGCTGACAAATATGCTCCTTGCGCCCCTTAATTCCTCCCCGTCGGCTCATAGGTTGCATCATTTTCATAGATGACTTACATTCATAAAGCTACATTTTTTGTTATTTCCCAATAAGCAAATTCCTTTTACCCAATCAAAGACTTGACAACTAAATATTAATTGATTTTAAAAAGGGTGCTTAGGAGGTGTAGGATGGTAAGAACTACACCAACTACAAGGGATCAAATATCACACGTCTAAACCAGTTTCCACCCCACCCCAATCCCCCTCAAACAAAAAACAACAGTTTCATTTGGATATTCAATCTGCAAGCGCCGGAAGTCAACTGGTTCACACTTCCGGGAAACAGCTCGTGTTGTATCTCGCTCAGGCAGACTCAGACGCCTCTGACGACTTTGATTCCTCCAACGACTCTTTTTTCTCAGATGATTTTTTTGGGACATGCAATGGAGAGTGACCGGGGACCACCTATTTAAAATCAGGATGATATATATAAGGGATTCCAAATTCAAAAGAACAATTTCATACAAAACTAAGTTCAATACCTCGGAAAACTGCCTGTCGACAGAGAACCACAATACACAACTAAAAGTTTACCAGAAATTCCAAAAGAATAAAAGACGCATAAGGACTAGATCTCAGTCGAAGATATTTCCGTGCGACTAGCTTTTTTCTTTTGTGCATTGCTTTATTTTTTCTTTTCTTTTTCTTTTTCTTTTGTGCATTGCTTTATTTTTTCTTTTCTTTTTCTTTTTCTTTTTCTTTTTTCTTTTCTGCATTGCAGTATTGCACTCTTATTCCTGTTAATAAAATTTTCCTTTGTCCTTTTTTTTTTTTTCAAAAAACGGATGTTGGGCATTATGATATCCTTTCCTTTAATTAACGTGCCTCTGGACAAAAAAAAAATTGACGTGCCTAGAAATGAATCGCGGTGCCGTAGGAAACACTCTGCAGTCACCATCATTGATATAATTATTTCAAACAAAATTATTATCACTAAAAAGGACTTTAGACTATAGACAGAGGAATTGACCCGATGAAAATAAATTGCCTGTCGAGTGAGTGACTTTTTAAATACTCCAAGATAAATTAACATACTACGGGGTATTCAATAAAATAATTTAATTAATTAATAAAAAGGACCGTGTGGTAGTAGAATAAATAAAACGATACTCGTAGTAAACTAGCTGATTGGAGACCCAACCCTTCGCTTGTTATATTGTATGAATGTGAATCATACAAATTGTCCAAAAAAGGAAAGTGAGAAGAATTTTTGGGACAACCCAAAAAGAAAAGTGAGAAAAATTTTATGGAACGGAGGTAGTATTAATTAATAAATTAAGATGGAGATTGGAGACAGAGGGTAATTAAGGGGTCCAGTAAAGAAATTCTCTAATCTGTATTTTAGTTACTTTTATTTGAGACTTCCAATACTAAGATCGATCTCTCACAAGGAAGCTAGAACCGGACATCCTTTGAGCTAGCTGCTATGATTCATATATGAGTTAAATTGCGATCCATAATCAAGAAGATTACTAGCGAGATGATGATGTGTGATTATTCAGGTATATAATACGTGTTTTTATTTATTTATGCTATGTTCTTAATTCTTTCTTTGTTTATATATATACTTGTAATTGCATGGGCGAAATTAATTAACTAAATGTTTGCGCATATTTAATTCGTGCCCACACATATGTAGGTTATATATTAAATTAATTGTCGTTCTAACTACATGAAAAAATATGTCGTGCATTAGACATATTTATCTGAGTTTTTCTATTAGATCATCATTTTGGTTGAAGATCTATGGTATTTTACCTATACCCTGCTTTCTCCATTATCAATGATTTAATTGCTAAGATCATAATAAGTTTCATTTACAAATAGACTTTAACTAGGGCCAAATAAAAGTGTTAATATGAACTAAAAGCTGAAATTAGAGGTCATCAGGATTCAGGTCATATAATTATTACTCGTATATATAGCATAAGTGGTTGAATTGCCAAAATAGACTTAATCGGTTGAATTTGGGGCCATTTCTTGTATTGATTGAATGCGTAATTATATGAAGAAATTAAAGAATGAAAGATTGACCAAATATAACAATCATTGTCCAATACATAAAATATGACAACTTCAAATGCTTTGTAAAAATAATCACAGTTAAAATTTGTACTTCTTTCTACTCGTTAATTTCAATTCTCAGTCATTTAAAATTGCCACCACCGATCATAGTGGTGGTGTTTCACTACGAGTAACATATCAAGGCTCTTTTTGCTAGACTTATTTCATTTCTTACTAGAACATACCGAATATTAGCTAGATTACACATTATGAGACAAGATAATTAAGATGTGAACGGATTGGATCGAATAAACCTCATGACCAGCATCATATAATATTTATATTGTTTTGTTATTGTTATTATTATGTATTTTTTGAATTTAAATTTCTTATTTGATCTAATTTTAATTGGTTGGATTTAGTCTCATATGAACTGAAGTATTCCTACTTATTTCAATCTATAGTAGTAATATGTAGTACGGACTACGGAGTATATTTTATTACTATAAATTCAAGTTTTATATACTGTAATTAATTTTGGTCTGGTTTTATGAGATCCAAACCCTCTCGTTCAATCTAGATTTACCCTTGTTTTACGAGATAAAATGATTTTGTTATAGTTTTACTAGTTGTGTGTGTGCACTGGCATATGTATGCGTTATTACAACTAACAGAAAGTCACTTATTTAGCCGATTATAACATTGATTGATAATGTCTTGTTTTTATTTATTCTTACTTATTGAGTATGTCTTATTTTTAACTAATTATTTAAACTTTTTCTCAGTATATATATTTTCTAATTAGTGGGTCATTTTTTATAACTGTTTGTTGCATGCAAATGATCTTCATCTTTTCAATCATCTTTATCTACTTCGTATTGAATATTGATTTTTTTCGGAATAATACCAAGTAAAAAATTATTTACGAAATTAAGGTCAAATTAAAAACTATTGAAATGAACCATGGTTAACAAAATTAAAGCTGTCAATTGAGGATGTTTTTCCTTGGACTATTTTCAGTCCTAGACTAGACTAGACATAAACAGTCCAAACCAGACCTGACTTAAACAAGCTAGACTTCCATAGTTATAAAATACTGAGAGACCAACATTTATCAGACCAGATGAGTTCATTTTAGAACAAACCGGACTTTAAAAGGCCAAACCAAATCAGACCAGATAAGTTCAATTCCAATGTATTCAACACTTATTATTATCACCACTCATCATATAATATGCCCTATAAATAATTAATACTCCACAACTAAAACAATAATTAGCATATAAACAACAATATAACCACAAATTCATACTCCAAAAGATGGTGATTCCTCACCCGTCTTTCATGGTGGTGGTTAATTCATAAGAGAAATCGATTATAGCCAAACTTTTCATGATATCATATGAATGGTTCGCAATGTTTATTGATATTTCTCATCGGAATCTATATCAAATTAACACTACCGGGGCATGCCCCGGGTGTTACACTAGTTTTCCCTAATTGTAACTTTGAAATGTATTGTGTATAGATTGTCTTTCTTTAATTGATTAATCTAATTTGTGTTGATATCTTAGTATGTAGATGGTATTCATCTGAATTACATTCATAAATAAATACTTCGTATGTTACATACTCTACATCAATTATGTATAGGCAGTATAGCATATATACAAACAAAAAATTTAGCATAAATAATTTGATCTATTATATACGTGTATACAAAGTTATTTAAAACATGAAAATGATAGGGAAATATTCTTTGTAAATTATATTCTTATACAAATATATTCTTATATAAGTTATTTTTGTACAAATATAAAAGTTACCTTTCAGGCTTTCACAAAAATATATTAATAAAAATTATTGACCAAAACTTATGAACTGACTATCAAAAATAAAATGTTCCCGGGGACGTTTATAGTATAAGATTATTCCTAGTTCGTGTTTCCAATTTTCCCTAAAACAATTTCACTAGTACTTCGCATGTAGAACTAAGTATTTGTTTTATTCCGTTCCTATATACTTTATTTTGTCATCAACTTAAATAATTATAATTACTTAAAAGAAGGTTAATTATTTTGTATTGAACAATATATTGCTCCGTTATTCAACATTCATTTGTTAAAATCCACATAATAAGACTATAAAGGGAAAGTTATAGATTTATTCTCGTGGCATTTAGTAATTTTACTCAGTTATGCATTTGATCTTGCAACTAGGAAATTTGTTTACATCAAAGATTTTTCCATCGGAACATAGCTTTTGCCGGAAAAATGTACTCCCTCCGTCCCCTTTTAAATGTCCCGTTTTACCATATTGGGATGTCCTTATTTAATTGCATCATACCTTATTTGGTAAACTTTGGGTGGCTCAAAATCATTCTTACTTTATTCTTACTTTATCAATTAATATCAACCACGCAAACTCACTTTTCTTAAAACTCGTGCCACTATCTCCCGTCCCATTTAAAAGGGGATGGAGGGAGTACTTTTTAGTGGAAATGTCTTCAATTTGAATAGATTCAATTGTAACAAGCCCAAATATATGTGCAACAGTGCAAGTGAGTAAAGTTAGATGAATGAGGTTAATGACTGTCTTAAAAGAGAAAAGTGGTAGTTGTATGATTAAAAAGTTTGTTTGAATTGATTTAGTTTTGTTTGGTATACAAGTTATTAGGGCTAATTAATACTAAAAGTAACAAACTTTTCTCAAATGTTACTCATTTTAGCATCTAAAAACAAATTATTTTTTTAAGAAAAAAAGGGTCAGATAGGCCCTCGAACTTACATAAAAAGGTCAAATAAGCCCTTATATAGGAGGCTCTATCCGGCCGTCACCATTTGGGGCGGTTCCCGGAGGAATTTTTTGATGATATTTTTTGAGCATCTAATTCATTAAGGGTATGTTTGGCACAACTAGCTAAAAAGATACTTTTACAAGCTTTTTAGTAACTGTTAGCTTTTAGTGACTGAAAAGATCTTAAAAAGAAAAGGTGATAGCTGTTTGGTAAAAAGTTGACTGTTTGATTTAGTTTGGTTTGGTATACAAGCTGTTAGGACTAATTTAAACTAAAAGTCACGAGCTTTTCTCAGATGCTACACCTGGTAGCATCTCAAAAAAGATCTTTTAATTTTTGAAAAGCTCTTAAAAAATGTCATGTCAAACATACAACTAGAGTCTTTTAAGGTCTTTTTAAAGAATAGAGAAGCTAGAAGCTAGAGTCTTTTGTGTGCCAAACATAGCCTAAGTCTAGTTTAAGCGCAGTTAAAAAGAGCTTTTAAGTTCGAGGGAAGGCCTATTTGAATTTTTTGATGAAATTTCAGTGAAAACTTCAATCGAGAAGGCATTCAAATGAATTCTTGAAAATAACTGCGCAGTTAAAAAGCGCAGTTATCTTCAAGAATTCATTTGAAAGTCTTCCTGATTGAATTGTTAGCTGAAATTTGGTATGTATGAGTAACAAAGACTTAATGAATAAGATGCTCAAAAAAATTCAACAAAAAATTCCACCAGGAACCGTCCCAATTGGAGACGGTCGGACAGAGCCTCCTATATAAGGGCTTATTTGACCTTTTTATGTAAGTTCGACGGCACATTTGACCCTTTTTCCATTTTAAAAAACTCTTAAAATTGTAATGTCAAACATACAACTAGGAAATTCTAAATACTACGTACTTTTAAATAGTACTCCGTATAAAACTTATAAGGTAGGGACTTATCAAGTACGTATATACCAACTACTAAGGGGTCTTTGTCCGATGGAAACTCCATGATGTTTCGTTGTTTAGGATCAGGTGAGAGCTCTGGTACCCATTAAAAAAATGGGATATCATACCTACCTTTCACTTGATTAGTCTAAATAGGTATATCATTTTTAATTTGGACTTAAATAATTCAATTGCAACATTCTGATTGGTACATGTGAATAAAGATACGGTATCTTATTTGTACGTGTACCAATGTACCATAGAATCTATCTTAGGGTTATCTGTGGGGCGTTTACGGATGTTTTTGCTAAAGTAATTTTACATTTTCACATATACGTAATGGTGAGAACTCTGGTACCCATTTAAAAAATATGGTACCGTACCTATCATTCACTTGATTGGTCCACATAAGTATATCAATTTTAATTTAGACTTAAATAATTCAACTGCAACATTCTGATTGGTCCATGTGGACAAAGGTACAGTACCTTTTGGGTACCATAGAATCTATCATACGTAATACGTAGTACTCCCTCCGTTCTTTTTTGTTAGTCTCCTTAGGCTTTGGCACGGGTTTTAAGAGTAAAGTAGTAGGGGTAGTGTAAAAAGGTGTAATGAGTAGTGGGTAAATGAAAAAGTAGGAAAGAGAAAGGGGTAATGGTAATAAAAGTGGGGGTATAAAGGTATATTTAAAGTAAAAACTTTCCTTAAATGGAAAGGAGGACAGATAAAAAAAAACGTCCCAAAACGGAAAGAAGGACTAATAATAAAGAATGGAGGGAGTATATGTTTTACTTTTTCTATAAAGTAATTTTACATTTCAAAATTGTTGCATTTTGCTTCATTCGGCCACCATTTCACCCCATCAACCTTATATCCAGTTAGAAAAACTTGAGACAGGACGATATCACCTCTGTCTCACTAACATTGTGACATGAATGAAGAGGTTGTGCGACTATTAAGAAAAGTAGTTTTATGTGATTCATATTGAATTGATAGAGTAAAAATAAGGTAAAATGATTTATAATCACACAAACTTTACAAAACTTGTTATGAAACAATCTCAGTGGAACAGATAAGAAAAAAATGAATATGAGACAATATTATCTGATGTAACATGAAAAATGATTGGTGTACACATTTTTGTGTACACCTTTCGTACATTCGTCTGTCTCACGCACAAACAATTGTCTGTCCACAGACAATTTTACACAGTTGTCTATGAACAGACAATCGTTTGTGCGTGAGACAGACGAATGTACGTAAGGTGTACACCAAGCACACCCGATGTAACATTGGTCGTCCGATAGATTGCTTACAACGTCATGTAAAAAAATTTTGCAATCAGTCTTAATTATTTGTTTAATTACTAATGATCGGACCGTGCCCACCCCTAGTTTTATGTATTTTAGAGAACAGCATACAATGTTTTATTGTTTAATTAGCGCTAAGTAATAAGATTATAAAAATAAATGAGCTGTGAAAAAATGTAAATTTTGATTATAAGACCAGACCAGACGTGATTAGACTAGACTTGCACAGTTATAAAATGCAGAGAGATCAGATATTAATTATATCAGACCAGTTCAGACCAGATCAGAACAAATCTGGCCATAAAATTTCAGTCCAATTAAAAACAAAATTAGTAACAAATTATTCCCAAAGAGATTACTAAAAAGAAGCTGATCAAAATTGATAAGATGAAGCTGATAAGTTTGACATATTAAAAGTAGGAGTGCTCTTCCTGTCCGGAAATTCCGGACAGGAGCCCCGTCCGGTCTCCTCCATTTGGGAGCCTTCCCAGGGGTATTTTTTGCTCAAATTTTTTGTGTATGTTGCTCATCAAGTGTAGTTCATCCATACCGAATTTGAGCAAAAACTTCAATCGGGAAGGTCGTCAAATGATTTTTCCGGACCAGTTACCTTGCAAAAATCATTTGGCGACCTTCCCGATTGAAGTTTTTGCTCAAATTTAGTATGGATGAACTAGACTTGATGAGGAACTTACACAATAAATTTGGGCCAAAAATACCCCTGGGAACCACCTCAATTTGAGTTGGCCGGATAGGGGAGTGGTCCGGCCTGGCCGGACCTGAATCCTCCTGTTAAAAGTAGTGATTTTTAATTTATATAGTAAAGTCCACCAACTGATTCAGCCAATTTCAATGTTATCAAACGGGCTCTTAAAACTTTTAAATTCTAGCGACTTCAGCCAGAACTTCATAAGTTTTAGTAGAATCAACTGATTGAGCCGATTTCAATGTTATCAAACGGGCTCTTAATATGGATAAAAAAAAAGATTTAAGAATCTTAAAAAAGGACATAGACAGGGCATAGTATTTTGAATGATTCAATGTTTTATGGGGAAATTCCCTAAATATTACTCCCTCCGGTCCCCTTATATTGTCTCGTTTTACCTTTTCGGAAAATCACGCTAAAATTATTCCATGCCATATTTGGTAAAGTTTGTGTGGCTCTAAATCATTCTCACTTTATTCTTACTTTATCAATTAATATCAATCACACAAATCCACTTTTCTTAATAACCGTGTCACTCTTCTGTCCTAGTGTAAATTTTGGAGTTTTGAAATTCCAAAATAGGATTGTCATATTTTTATTTCTCGGATAGGAATAATTTCTACCAAGTTTGCCAGAATTTAAACATGACATTTTTTATTTAGAAAATGAAAACAGGTCCCTAGCCATTTTGGAATTTAAGGCAATTTCTAATGTTTTATTGATTCTACAGGAGCAGCAGTCCAGGTGCCGGCGTTGAAGGCGGAGGATCAATCTGCCTTGATGCGATGGCATGAGAATGGGCGAATGACGCGGCCCTGGATTTATGTTAAGGTGGAGAAGGGAGGGCAGTTTCCTAAAGATTTAGGCGAGTGTACGGTAGAGGTGAAGATGGGGGTCAACCCCGCAGTCTGCACGGCGGGCGGCAAACTTGCGGGTGGCAGAGACGCGGCGGTGCTGGTAAAGTTTCTCGACGGAATAGCCGACAGGATATTCGCGGTGAAGTTGGCATCAGTTAAAGACAAAAAGCTCGGGGGTTCACTGGTTCTGGACTACCAGTGGTCGGGTATCATCCGCTTGCAACGCGGTGAAACGGAGGCGCCGGCTCCGTACGGCATCACCGTTGACGGCGCCAGAGTTGAGTTGATGATTTCCGTGTGGCTATCATTTCACGAATGGGACGGAGCCGTTGAAGCCCCCTTACCAGGTTCCCCCGCCGGCGCCGTCATCCGCTCACACCCTTCCTACACCTACGCGCGACCAAAGCTGGCCTACTGCCTGGTGGTGCTTCTACGGCTCGAGCCATCCAAATCCTGTAAAGCCCCTCTCCAGGACGGTGCTTCCTACTACGTGCATGGCCAGATGGGAGGACACCAGCAGTGGACTCGGCCGTTGCCTCAACCTAGCCCATATAATCATATTGATGCCACACCGCCCAACTGCCATGCCTTTGGCCGCACGCGTCTCTGGTTCCCCGTGGATCCCTCCGACCGCGAAAGCCTCACCTTCACAGTCGTGGTCCGTCCTCCTCCGGTGGGTGCCACCAAGGAGCCGCCGTGCACTGTGCTCGGGAGTGTCGTCGTCCCCATGGACGACAAAGGCCCGAAACTTAAAGATGGCCAAAAACAGCACGATGGGAGATTCATGCTCGTGAAATCGGGCGACAAGGACGAACTAGGGCTTATACTACACGCAGCGGTGTGCATAGACAAAGGCTACCACGTCTTTGATGACCTGGATTCTTACACCAGCGATCGCTCCCCCACCTCAACTGCGTCTGCACTAGGTATAGCACAGCTACATGTCAGCATCGAACGTGTGGAGGCCCTCGTTCCCATCAAAAAGCGAAAAGATGTCTGGACGACGGACCCGTACTGCGTCGCCAAGTACGGGGACAAGTGGTGCACGACACGCACTGCACCCGCCAAATTTGGTGCTTCTGCCGACCCCATGTTCAAACACATGTGCAAATGGAAGGAGAACAAATTGGAGGTCTACGACCCGAGCATATCAGTTCTCACACACGCCGCCTTTGGAGAGAAGTTCACATGGGAGGTCCACGACCCGAACACAGTTCTCACCATCGGTGTGTTTGACAACAGCAACATGGTGGCAGTGGAGGGGAAGAAGGACGAGGAGGAGGGGAAGAAGAAGAAGGTGGAGGACAAGAACATCGGTAAGGTTAAGGTTCCCATCTCCACCCTGCTAATGTACACGAGGTACGAAACAGTGTATCCCTTGTTCGCCGTGCATCCCGAGCTGGGCCCGCAGGTCAGGATGATGGGCATGCTGCACGTGACGATTGAGCTCGTTCCTCGAAGCTTGGGGAGCTTTTTCGTCAGTTACTTTACCCCTCCTCTCCCGAGCGCGCACTACCTGCAAGGTGTCCCGCCGCTCGAGATGATGCCGGAGATCCGGAGAAGCGCCGTGGCCTTGGAGGTCAAGAAGCTAGCAACATGTGACCCGCCTATCGGGGGCAATGTCGTGAGATACATGACCACACCAGAGCAGGGCTTTAGCAGGCGAGTGTTACTCACGAACATAGCACGCCTCTACTCCGCCTGCGGTTTACGTGCACTACTCCAACTTCTCGGGCTCGTCCTCAGCAGGAGGAACCAGATGACGTCAGTGCTCGTTTCTGTGCTCCTTACCCTCCTCCTCTTATGCCCATTCCTCATCATCCCTCTCATCCTCTCCACCTCTATCTATGTGGGACTTGTTAATCTCGCAGCATGGGCGAGCTGGAGCTCCACCAAACCCAGCTTCACTCACCCACCTTACCTCCTCGAACTAGTTTCATTCCAGGTAACATCATTCACTTGGAAACTTAAGAATTTATAACCTTTTTCTATATATAGTTGGTCATATTGAGTTAATTTTCTTGAAAGTGCAAATCCCTTAATTCATTTGTCCTTGATCAATTATAAGACGACGCACCCGGACCATCTTGACGAGGAAGCGGACACGCACCCGACGAGCAGGAAGCCAGAGGTGGTGAAGAGGAGATACGACGAGCTGAGGCTTCTGGCTGCACAATTCCAGAACTTTTTGGGCGACCTTGCAAATCTGGCGGAAAGGATTCAGAATATAGTGACTGGGAAGAACCCAGCTCTTACGGCCATCGCTCTCGTCTTCTCCTCTGCAATGCTGTTTGTGCACTGCTTGATAATGCGGTTCAACTACATTGCGGCCATGTGTGTTATTCTGCTTTCAGTGTTGTGGAATTCCAGATTCCTGAAAACTGCTCTGCCCCTTGCGCTTATCAACCTCTTCCGACGCCTGCCTACCTTCTACGATAATCCCTTGTAGCTCTTTATTCATCTAATATCATCATCTCATCTGCTTCAATTATTATGTGTATAATTATAATATTAATAAAGGTGTCTCAACTGTCTCTTTTTTTGTTGATTTCTTTGATGTACTTTCGCTTTTTTTTTATTTGAATGATATGTGCCTACACTTAAATGGAGAACTCATTGCGTGCGAAAGAATTTATTTTGTATGTGTATTAATCGTTGGACTTATGTATTAATCATTGTATCTACTGCAACACATACTCTAGAGCGCAACTGTTGGACTTATGTATTAATCGTTCACATATTGTTGGAAATGGGATCAAAATATAAGCTCTATAATTTTTTTGGTTAAATTTGGTTCAATTGTAAAAAAATGTAGATGTTGAATTCAATTCGGTTCTTACATGAAAATATTCAAATTTCAAATCGTGAAAATAAGTTGTCATAACTATGACCATTACATTATACATACATGATACATCCAATGTTCAACAACAACAACATCCAAGCCTTAATCCCAAAAGATATATCCAATGTTCAAATATCACAAAAATATCAAAGTGAAAACTTTAAGTTAAACATAACACGATATATAAGGTATATTTCAAAAGATAAATATTCCTAACTGAAACGTTGTTAGGACACTTCCACTTGAGATGCTTGTAAGTGAAATATTTGATAAAATTTTGTGAACGTGTTGTACTTGAAGTATGTATTAGGTCCACCCAATTTTAACTTAAAACTCAATCGTGAAGTTACTAAAAAAAATAGGAAAAATTGATAGTAATAATCTCAACTATTGGCGGTCCGCTAATAATAATCTCAACTATCGATTATTTTAGAATAATCCCAACTTTAGGGACCTTCCGCCAATAATGGCCTGACGTGACCGCTATAAATAAATTCTTATAGTTTCTAAAGTTGATGAGAAGAGATATAGCAAGTAATCCCTATAAATAATCCTAACTTTTATGGAGTAATTTTTAAGGTTTATTTCTATTCGAAATTCACTTGTTATCTGGTCATGGACCATTATTGGCGGACGATCCACATAGTTGGGATTATACAAAAATAATCAATAGTTGAGATTATTGTTAGCGGAATCGCAATAGTTGGGATTATTATTTTCATTTTTCCTAAAAAAAATACTGAAAAACACAACATTTTTTATTTTGGCATTGTTTTTCAATCATATACCGAGTTAGGCATGGACCCTGTTCGGGCCACCCGGCCCGCTACTGTGCGGGACCGGACCGGACCGGTGCTTTGGATCCGAAACCGGTCCTTGACCCGGTTTGAAGGCTTAAGCGGGGGCGGGCTCGGGCTGCAGAAATGGGGACCCAGTCCAGCCGGGCCCGGTTCAGGCCAAAACTATTTTTTTTTTGTTTTTCCAATTTTTTGGATTTCCCCGAGTTGGGCTTGATGTTTTGGGGGGGGGGTGGGGGTTTTGGGGGGGGTGGGGGTGAGGGGGTAGTTACGAAAGAAATAAAAAATTATAACCCGGCCCGAACCGGACCCGGTGGCAACCCGGGCCGGTCCCGGGCCTTCCCCCAACCACAAAAGGCCCGACCGGGCCTAGGCCCGGGCCCGACCCAGCCCGGCTCCATGCCTATACCGAGTATTGCCCAGACAATTTCTTCAACCAGGTGGTCTGAGCAAGTGTTGCCGTTAATTTTTTTTTTTTTTTCGCCCTGTTTGAAGCCTAAAAATATACCAAGTTGGGACGGGAATCGCTCGATGTGGTCCCCAAAACTGTAAGGATCGTGAAGTGTGAACTGCTCTAGGGCGAACAGGGCTGGTCTTAGGCCCGAAAGCGGTATAAACAGCCTGATCTCGTCACAAATAGTGCCAGACCAGATTTTGGGCCGAACCAGAACCATCCCTAATATCAACTGTTGTGTATTAGTTTTAATTGGTAGATCTTAAAAAGATTAAAATTTTCCATGTTTAATTACAATTATTATGATGGATTAATTCTAACCGTTAGATGTCGAAGGACACGGTCCAATAGATCGTTGTATCAATTAATTGGATCGTAGTCTCTTACCATAAAAATGGATGCATGAGCGGCAGCATCTACTATAAAGGGTTCCTCCGCAAGGTTCGCCCACGGATGAGTCAGGTCCTAAGATCAGGCCGAAAGGTGTAGTCAATGGACAACAGGTGAATAAGTGTTAAATGAAAAGTGAACTTGAAGGGTCTATCCGTCTATGGTCTACCAACAAAATTAAGATCTAACGATTGAAAAGCTAATAGTTAACACTAATGAATCAAAAAAATAATGGAGCATAAACTTTATTTTTGGCTTAAGATGAACGCTGCTATATATACGGTATCCTCCATAACAATCTCTTGTTACATAAACTCAGGTTAACCTATAATAATTATGCAATTTATTTATCCTTTGAACATGCATCAGCCCATAATACTTCATACGGTTTTTTCATAATAATTAAAGATTCCGCTTACAAAAAGAAATTAAGAGTCAAAAGAGAATTCAATATTAGTATATTACTATCAGGTCAACCGATTCTCCATTTTTGGATGATAAATCATAATAGCATAAATCTCTATTTCAGGTGTGTTTGTTAGAACAGTTCACATCTACCACATTATATATTTATGAATAAATAAACACATATATACAAAAAAAAACACAATGACCAAGAGCCTCACCCGCGCATAAGGTCAATCCCGGTCTGAAAAGCTCTACTATCTGATCTGGAACTTGGAGGCCAAATTGAAGAGCTTGGGGCAGGATCTTGACTTGGAGAAGAAGCGGCGGCGAGCACCATAGTCGATGACGATGACCTCATCTCGGCGGCAGACCCGGCGGCGAGCACCATAGTCGATGAAGATGACCTCATCTCGGAGGCAGACCCGACCACTGAATCCTTCTCTTCTTCCGTGATAACCGTACTCTCTGTTTTGCTCTTACTCTTCATCAAATTACCGTGCACGAAACTGCATACCACCACCTGAATTAAAAAACAAAAAAAACAAAACTTTTTATTATAAGTTTGCTTAGAGCAATTGAATCAAACCGCGTACCAAGTGGCTTCAAAGGACTTTTCCTTGAAGATAAAATCGATATTTGAAATTAGATTCTTTTTTACCAATCAAAAAATCTAAAAATATGACTTCTTCTTTTGAAAATAATTACACGTTTATGACTATAAAAAAAATTATTTATGAAAATGTGACTTCTTAAGTGTAGACTATAATAGTAATTTTAGTCATAGCATCTTATGTTCAGTATTTACACTTAAGTGACTATGATACTATATGATAGTAAGTTTTGGTCATACTTTTGTAAATAAGTTATATTCCGTATTTCAGTAACATATGGAGTGATTGTTCACATGTTAAACATTACACTCCATTGTAGAAAACTTTATATTCATATTAAATTTAGTCATGCTTTTCCATAAATTTGTATGAGTAATATTTTAGGAAAAACAACCCTCTGAAGACGATCATTCTTGATTTTAGGAAAAATAACCATCTATTTTTCATGAAGAGAATAATTCTTGAAGGAAAGGCATTTATAACTCCTACGCTTTAAATGACAAAAATGTGTAGTGTTTATTAAATATGACTAAGTTTAAAATTAAAATCATAACTCTATTCATATTTACCGATCTCAACATTTTTTGAGGATAAGACTTGATGTTGTTGTATAAGTCTATTCCTATTTCTTTTCCCTCCAACATAAACCTAGACCGGACTAGCTGCAGCTCCCAGCCGCAGCCACTAGCCGGAGCCACCAGCCGCCGCCAACAGTCACCACCACGGAAGAAATTCAGAAAAATATCCAAAAATCCATTTCGAAAAATTGCCTCCAAAATAGTCAGAACTTGATGCAGCCACTACCGGAAATATTTTAATAGAAATTTTCTCAAAATAGTTACCAGAATTTAGTAATGGCGATCAAAATGACAGCGAGAACATGTTACTCAGAATATCACCGGCATTGTTTGACAGTGACATCTTAGAAGTTATTGGCAGTGACATCCCACATTTTTTGAAATGTGACAAAATTGTCACATTTTCACCCATGAGTATGGCGGATTCGTGTTTAAATGAAAAAGTATGAAAGAGAATGTATTAAGAAATGTATTTACGTGTGTGGAAAAGAAAAATAATTAAAAGTAGAAAAGAGAGTGTATTAAGAAAAACAATTAAATGAATGGAGGAAAATAATAAAATGTAGGAAGGAGAAAATAGTTTATCAAAAGTAAAAAAGCGAGGGTAAAGGAATATTTTTGTAGGAAAACTTACTAAAAAGAGAGTGATGGATAAATAATAAAAACCTTTTCAAAAAAGAATAGATGACAAGTACGGAGTAATAAAGAATGGAGGGTGTAATTGAGAAAATATATGGAGCACACCAACGTGCTCACTACGAAGCATAGATACATAAATCGCGCAGACTATCATGATCTACGTTCCGAACGCCGCGTACCCAAACGCGGTAAGAAAGCGTTCCGAACGAAAGTCGGATCGCAGGGGAAATCGCATCGCCAATCGATCTCAATTGCTTCTGAGGTCGTTCTCCATCGCTCCATACTCCGTTCCCAAACGCAGCTGGTGTCGACTGCAACAACATCCGGAACGCGCTGTATCGCAATCTCCAAACCAGACGTGTTCATACTTGG